TTCGAGTGGGTTGAATTGACTAGGAAAATTGGTTGATCTTAAGGTTTGGCGAACCTATTGCCTACCTAAGAACACTAAGGGGATATCTAAAGGGTTCTCAGGCTATCTAAAACTTGCCAATGCGATGTCGTCGGATCTCCTTCTGGGGGAAATCCTATAGGCTATCTCTACGCTATGCTAAGAAGGCCTAAGTTCAAGAGAAGCCCTAGGGAAAAGGAAGACTAGCCTCATCAAAATGAGGTCAATGATGGCCTACTTTTGTTGTTTTAGTTTTGATTTTAACTCTTTTGGTAAATTCTAATAAGCATAACGAACAATTTAGGCATTAGCTGCTTTCTTGCTTCCTACAAAAATATTTATAATTAATTATAAGCAACCTGTCTCCAAGAAGGATGGCCAACATCACCCCGAAAATTTGGTAAGAGAATAACTCTCTTTTAACCTTAATAATCTTCTCTTATTCACTTTTATTTTATGTTTATAATTTTAATTTTCATAGCCATGAAGCTATCTCATAAAGCCCTAATTTTAAATGTTCCCTTGCATCTAATTGCATCATAAAACTCTAATCATAGATTGTCTGCTACATAAAATAGATATCATAACAATTTTAATATTAAGAATTGCTTGTCTTTGCATTATGCAATGTCAGGGTGTTTTCGTATCAGGCATGATTGATTACACAAGTTGAGTAGGGATTAATAATGTGACATGGCTTAATATGCTCCTACTTGGCTTGACATTATCAACCTCCATTTACTTTGATTCTTATGTTCGATAGAAAAATTTTATATAGAAATCGAAGGAACTAATTGTTAATTTAACAAAATCAATTATGTTATCATTATTAATAGAGATAATGATCAAAATGGTTTCTCAACTCTTTGTGAGGGACCAAAATAATCCCCATCTCTTTTGAGAGACTAATTTGGTCCATCAACTCTTTAAAATGAAATATTTTTGGTCCTATCATCTAATGCTGGAGTTAATGGTGTTAAATATAAGAGTATTTTGGTCATTTTAAATTAAGCATTTATTAAATATAATTTTCAAGTAATTATAATTTTAAAAAAAATTATTAAATGTTTTCTTAATAAAATAATAATAATAATTTTAGTATTATTTTCAAAAAATTTATTCATATTTTATTAAATATGATATTTATTGATCTTGAGAAATCAAATGTAAATAGATGTTATTTTCAACTTAGTCACACATATTTTTACCAATCATATGATTAAAATTTTTGAAATTAAAATTAAAATTATTATTAATTTCTTTTAATTAAAAAACGTTTAATAATTTTTTTAGCAAATATAATTACTTGAAAATTATATTTAATAATTGCTTAATTAAAAATGACAAAAATACCCTTACATTTAACATCATTAACTCCAACATTCGATGTTATGATTAAAAATATCTCATTTTAAAAAGTTAAGTGACCAAATTGGTCCCTCAAAAGAGTTGGATACCATTTTGGTCCCTCACAAAGAGTTGAGTGACTATTTTGATCATTTTCTCAATATTCATATAATTAAAAAATTCAAGAAAACTGAAAAAATGTTTTATTCATACAGGATTGTTTACCGTTTTAAGAAATAAAAAAAACTACAAACATGTCTAAAAGAAAACAAATTTAGAAAGTAACCCCTTCTTTTAATTATACCTTCTTGATCCACTCAATGGGTTGGTTTGATAGCTATGTGAGAATATATCAAGGCGAGCACCTGATTCTCGTTGAATAAAACCTGAGATATTGTGATCATGGAGGTTGTTATTATTTTGGAGCTGTCATTATCATTCTTTTTTGGACTAAAATGATTGACCTGGACATCTACTTCATACAATGGAACTGGATTGATCATTTACTTCTCCAGTATGTGAGGCTAGCCAGGTACACTCAACCTATATATATAGAATAATAATCCCTGATCAGTGCCCCTGGCCAGGGCCCATGAGAATCTCTTCAATGAGGATCCTAGGTTAGTCTGATTGGCCATCAACACTACAGGTGTGGATTTTTTATGGTTAAATTTAATATATAACTCCTCAAATTTCCCATTCAGAAGTTCTGGTTGCACATAAAAACTTAGACGGTTGGCTTGGTCTCTCTAGTCTTCATAATGGAGTTGAAGATATATAGTTTTGTGTCCATTCACAATCCCCATTTTAGCAATGATATTGTTGGAGATCTCAAGGAACTCATACTCGACTTTCTCTACTCTTAATATATGCAATTCAATGAAATTGATCCATTCTAGGAGAATCGACTAGTTGAGTTATTGAGCAAAATTTTTATCAGTATACTTGAGCATGTTGAATCCTTCGGTGATATTACTATAAATTTTTTTTTTGATCATTTTTGAAGCTCTAAGTAATTCTATGAAATCAAGCTTTTCATCTTCTTTGACCACTAGTTCAATTCGACTTAATCCTCGAGGCAAATATCATATTGCTCTCATTTAATGAACCAAATGCCCTTGATGCTAAAGGATATTAGGGCAGGAGTAGAGGTTGAAGCCGGTCAAGGAGCGGACACTGATGCTGGAGGTGGAGTAGAAGTTGTAGCATGGCCATCTAAGGATGAACTCCCTAGTCTTGATTATCACCATAAGATGAAGACAACCTCTTAATATTGATTTCGATGTAATCTAATGAATTTTTTGTCTGAGTCCAATAATAGAAGTAGTCTTCCATCTCTGCCCCACTTCTTACCCTTCTTCTCTACTCAAATTAATCTTTCTTGTTGATCTCAATCCACAAGTAAAAAATGTCAACGTTCGTATTCAATTTTAGAAGTCATGTATTATACTTTTTTAACTCCATTATTTCAGAGCATAGTGGAAAATGTTTTATCCTTATGCTGATTGGTCCATGACATTTAAGGATGTCTATTGATGATTTGTGTTCTGTGTATGAGCTTGATGATGATTATTGGTTATAAATAAGCAAGCCTTTGGTTGAGCCTAAATCTGAAATTGTGCTTGAGACTATTACTAATCTTAATTTTAAATTCATACTTCCCTAGATACCCTTTTATCGCTAATATTATTCACAAGTATATTTAAATGAATAATTAATAGTTACATATTCCTTGTATTATTGCCCGATTCTTCACTGGATAGACAAATTGTTTCACATATTCAAATTTTTTATTTGCTTTTTGCCAAAAATTCAGGTTGAATTCATTCTATTATTGCCATACAACATAGGATCCTCACTCATGATACAACAACAACAAGCTTTTATCACACTATGTGATGTCGGCTACATAAATTATTTTTCTCATTGTGTCCTATCAAGAGTCAAATTCTCATTTAAAATAATAAAGAAATGTCATTTCTAATACTTTCTAATTAAGTCTTCGTTTGGGACGGCTTTTTTACTGCTACTTAAAGCAGCTTTCTAGTATAAAAATTTTAATTTTTTATACTAGAAAGCTGCTTTAAGAAGCAGTGAAAAAGCCGTCCCAAACGAAGCCTAAGTTTTTTTAGATCTACCTCAACCTTTCTTAACATAGGCTGGATCTAATACATCTACTATCCTAAGATGGTCATTAGAAGGTCGATGTTTTATGTTACAAAACAATTTAAGACAACTCTCTCTAATCTTATCTGCCACTGAAGCTACTCCAATCATTTCATGTATACACTTGTTTCATGTTCTGATACTGATTTAAGAAAATTATATGATGCATGGAGATATTTGAATACAAAACCCCTAGATTCTCTTTTGCATGCTCAATCTTCACTTGCTAAATGACTCCAGAGATACATGTGAGCCATAGCTCCACTATTACCTCCTCCATGGACACTAAATTTTAAGTTCTAGCATGACTGTTCATGGGAAGTGTTCTCTAGCTCCATAAGGAGTTGATATTGTACAAGACATGCATTATCCTGTTTTAACTATTTTGGATTAATTTTAATATTTATTTAATTTTCAACATATTTGATTTTTATGACATACAATCAATTCAATTATCCTTTTCATTAGACTTATATATATTTTTTAATCATACATTAGTATTTATCTCATTATTAGGATTTGTGTAGATTTAAATTATCATATTTGAATTAGTTTGAATTATCCTTTAATCTATTTTCTATAAGTAGGGATTTTTTTTTATGCTCCTATAAATTGGGATGTGAATGTATTCTAAATAATCATCTTATCATGCAATGAAATTGAATGCAGACTCCTTTTCCGCAATTCTCTTCACCCTCATAAAGTTGCAAGGCCAGAAAACTCCTTTTGAAGTCCTCTCATGCCCACTTTCTTTATCCGTATTCTTTCTTCTCTGCGAACATAATTCATGCCTCTCTCTAGAAAAGGTTAATTCAAGGAGAAACAGGCAATTCAATAGCAACTTTGTGAGAAGAAAGATAAAAAAGGGAGATCATCATCAATGACACGAAGTATACTAAGTGAATGGTTTGAAGAAAGTGTATTATATGCCCCCTGCTGATCAACTGCATATTCTTATACTACTCTTGACTTTCTCATAATATTCAAATAGAAATGCTTGTTTATTTTCTGTTCTATTACTAATGAACTGTTTGGTTTGCAAGTTAAAACACAAATTGTTATTACCACCTAGGATCATTAACTTGCTTGAAGGTGGCTTTAACTTCATATTTGAGAATGTTTATTATTTGTGTTATTTTGACATTACTTTAGCAATTAGAATTGCTTATCTAGATATAATCATGCAAGCTCACTGATCTTGATAATGTCGTTTCTAATATTATTATGTAGTTTGTTCAAATATTCTATGTTTTTACTCTTTCCTTACCACGGTTCTTGTCGAAAACAAAAACTTTATATAAAGAATTTTGCTAAGTTTTTCCTGGTTTTATTATTTGATTTCATTTTTTATATTATATCTTTTTATATTCATGTATGCGCCATGTTCTTCTATAAGATTCTGAAGGCATATGAGATCATATTATAATGATGAGTAAGTAGATATCAACTGTTACCCTGCATTCAAACAGATTAATGCAGAAAAAGTAGCGGTTTCTGGTAAGAAGCGGACACAAAAGCTTTACAGGCGGCATTCTGGAAGGCCAGGTGGTCTCAAGGTAGAAACATTTGATCAACTACAGAATAGAATTCCTGAAAGAATAATTGAACATGCTGTCCGAGGAATGCTTCCTAAAGGCAGGGTAAGAAAATTATTTACTTAATTATGCTCTTTTTATAAGATTTAAAGCATTAACATTTACATGAACACAGAAAAATATAAATGCAAAATTAAAAGAAAGAAGATATTGCAATGTCTGCTTGTCATCTAGACTGGTTCATATAAACTAAGTCCATGAGTGCTAATGCCTATCTGTATGTTTACTGTGTTCACATTCATAAACTGTGTATGAGTGAGCGCTTTAAGCATGCATGGATAGAATTGAGATTTTAGCTTGAAGATCACTCAAAGGTTGAATCGATTTTTGACTAGTTTGAGCTCATATTGAGCCAGAAAAATGGATCATCAGCCAAATTTTGAGCTTGGCTAGACCTTAAAGTCAATTTGAGTATGGCTTGGAACAGGTCCAATCAGCTCAAAATATAAAATTATGTATATGCTTATATATATATATATATATATATATTTAAATGTATTGATTTATGTTGGACTGAAAGTTTTTTAGAAATTCAAGAGATCGATCAATTTCTTAGTTGAATCAAATTTGGAGAAATATTAATGATCCATTTTTAGATTGAATCGAGCCAAACTTTAACCCAAGTTAACTCGGTCCAAGCTTAGATCTAACAACTTTATGCTCAACTCCAGCTCGAGATAGAGGCTTCATTTGGGATAGCTTTCTTACTGTGTTTCAAAGCTGTTTTTTAGTGCAAAATTTTTTAGATCTATAAATTTTTGTACTTAATAAAACAGCTTTAAAAAACAATAAAAGAGCTGTCTCAAATGATGCCTCAATCGTTAATGACCCCATGCATAGACATTTTAGCAGCATCTAGTTAAGTTTATGTATTGCCTTAGCATATTCTAACTGTCGCCCATCTCCGAATCATGTAGTTACCATAATCATACAAATGGAATTGGAGTTCTTAGAACACTTAATGACAATTGTTTTGTGCAGCTGGGAAGGGCTTTGTTTACTCATCTCAAAGTCTATGAAGGTCCAGATCACCCCCATGAGGCACAGCAGCCGATTCCACTTCCAATTAGGGACAAGAGGATGCAAGTGGAGAGGTAAATAATTTAAATTTAACTTCTGTTCTTCATTTCCCTTAAAATGTAATATTTTTCTTTCAGAGTTTGCTATATATGTGGCCTGTAAACACTTCTGATTTCTTATTCTGTATATCAGAGCCCATAGGCAGCCACTAATTTGTGCATGGAATGCTTCTCCGTCAACCATTTTTAGTGCCTTTCTGTCTATTTCTAATCATTTGGTCCTTCAAATTTCTGAATCTGTTCTTGAATAGGCTCTGCAGATTAAACATTTCTAGTTTTCTGTCATTTTTTTTTCCTTCGCATGCCCGTTGATTTCCTGTCAGCGTGCTTTTATTGCGACTTCGTGGCTTCTTTGTCGCAAAGGGTTTCAAATTTTTGGAGAAGAAAGATATGAGTTTAGGATTTTAAAATGATTAATATTACTTAGTTTTAAATAATTAATATATATGAATTTAATTTTAAATTAATCTTAGTCCTTAAGATTAATTAATTAAAACCTTTAACTTTATTTTTTTGCAATTAAATTAAATTAAATTTAACCCAAGTAGAATTTATTAAATATTTAAATTCAGATTAACAAATTTGCTATATCTGTTTGAGCGAAATCTTACTTGAGCCAAACAGCCCCTGGGTTTCATACTTGTTTTCAATCGCATACTTTATATGCATGCAATAGCGTTTTGAAATCTATAACATTGTATTTTCAGATTTTTCTTAAAATAAAATAAAATATATTTTAAAGTAAAAGTAAAAAATGAGTTTATAAATTCTATTATTATACATTTAATCTAAAAAAAACATAGTCCAATTAGTTGTGTTGCATGCCAAAAAAATTATGATAATACTAATAGAAAGAATTTTACATCTTAGTCTTACGAGAAGATCAAGTACATATATAGATAAAAGAGAAGAATAACATATATAGATAAAAGAGAAGAATACATTGCATAATAGAATTTTAATATCGAAAACTAAAGAAATAGAGATTGTAGTAGTAATTGAGGGATGCTGATAACCGTCAATTTATATTGGCCAATCAACAATGATCATAGGACTATGATCTAATGATGGCGAGTAAATTATACAATTGAGCTATGATAATTTAACAACAACAATCGAGCAATAGTGGTTTGATGATAATAATTGGGCAATGGGGTTCGATAACGTCAGTGAAAGAATGGTGGTGGCTAATTGTGATCATCAACGTTGAATGTCGAATAGAGCTCTATAGTTCTTCAGATCTTCAAGCCTTCTAATCTAAAGTTTAGGGCCTCTTTCATGTAAAAAATATAGGTTTATTTATAGTATTTTGGAGTGACGTTTTGATAAATCAATCCAAAATTTCATAACGCTCCTTCGGCACACCAATGGCGGATATTTCTTATTGAGTTATGTAATCATAGAATATTCATTCAACATTGAAGTGTCTTAATGATCTCATAATCAATATGGCGATAATGATCTACATGCTAGCCACCAAAACCTAGTTTGAGCTTGAATTATTCAAGTATTTTGGAAGTCACCAAAATCATTTTGTAACGTTTGACTCAATTCTGACACTTTTAAAGCCCATCAGAGCCACTTTGATTGAGTTCAAGCACATTTGAAGAATTTAGAGTAAACATTTTAATAATTTTGTTTCAATCGACACACCAATTTTAGGGGAGGTTGAAATTATATTTTGGGAGAATTTACAAGGTTTTTGGCTCCAATGAGAGATCTATACTGAATTACTGACATCCTAGGAATGGTCAAGCCTTATAATTTTTTTAAAATTTAATTTTTGGGATCTAAGCTTATTATTTTTTTTTTGGGCTACGTGGAGCTTGACATTAAAAATAAGAAGCAAATAATATCATTTTAAGAAAATTCACTTAATTTTGACATGAATCTCGACGTATATTTGTTTGTGTTGGAAATTTCTTAAATTAAATTTATTAGAATCAACCAAACTTTAAAAAATTTCTTTATTAAAAAAAAACAATTGAGCCTTTTGGTGCATTTTAGGATTATATATTTTTTAATAAAATAAAATTTATTACTTCTCCAATTTTTTTACTAGAAAATATTTCAACATATTCTTAAATTAAAAAAAAAAACTCAAAAAAACTTCTTGTCGAAAATTTTACAAAAAAACCAAACATTTTGAAAATTTGCAAAAAGAAATTTAGTAACTCCTCTCTTCTTTTTAAAGCATAAATATTCCCTATGGGTGGTGGGGAACTCCTTTTTTTTAATTCTCTTTATAGGCTCTAATTTTGCATTAAGAATTTTATTTTCATCATTTTCAGATATTTTTCTTGCTTGTTCCTACATCTATTCACATAATTTTGATATTTTTTTTATAGATGAGAGTATTTATATATTTCTCCCTGTTGCGGGCTATAATATACGCGATGATAGAGTTATTGTTCTACGTCTTAGCGTTGCACGGATATCCAGCTCACACACAAAGAATATAAGATTTTTTACGTGGAAAACCCTAAAAGGGGGGAAAACTATGGGATCTAGCCTCATTGAAAATGATTCCACTAGAATTTGAGTTGAGTACAGTGGGCTGACTTGTCCTTGGGGGCGATCATATTACAAATGTCAACCATATGATTGTAGTCTAGTGACAAACGGGGATGAAAGTTCAACATCACTTGATAGTCTGGTAGAAGTCTCAACATCAATCTTGATCTGGTGGAAGTCTAGCGTCAAGCGGTGGTCCTGCGGAGTTCGGGCGACAGTTGGTGGTTTGGCAGAACTTCGACGTTGGGTGGTGGTCCAGTGAAACTCTGGTGTTAGGTGGTGGTCTGACAGAACTTCGAGCGTCAGGTGGTCTAGCAGAACTCCGGTGTAGGGTAGTGGTACGGCGAAACTCCGGTGTTAGGTGGTGGTCTGGCGGAACTCCAGGAATCAGGTGGTTTGGCAGAACTTTGATGTCGAGTGGTGTTATGACAAAACTCTAGCATCAGGAAGTGGTTCGACGAAACTCCTGGCGGTGGTCTTGGAGGAGTGAGGAGGCATGAGCGATCTCTGATCTCTCTCTTACTTCTCTTCCTTTGGCTTGAGTCTCCCTTTTCATGAGAAAGGGGGGCTCTATTTATACATTTTCTAGAGTGACATGACTTGTAAATAAATGGAAGATCAAGGGTATTTTGGGAGTGGTTTGGATGGACGGCTGATGTTGAATCCCTTAATCGTGGACAATTTATTGGGGATTTGAGCATCTTAATGGTATCAAAATTCAGTGATCTTGAGCTCATTGGATTCGCCTCGTCGAGCCACTCGATTCGACTATAAGCATGCCACGTTTGTAAATCATTTGGTAAACCAAATTGTGGTTTGAACCTTCCAACAATGCTTTGGGCCCTTGATTTGGAGCCATTTGGGCTCGGATTGAGTCAAATTTGGTCTCGTTGGGTTCATAATTCTGAGATGCTCAGTTTGACTATAAGTTTGCTGAAATTGGAGTTCTGATGGTCCCAATTTTAATTTTGGAGATTTCCAACTTGATTTTGCCTCGAGATTCGTACCCGATCAAAAATACTTTTTTGATGACGTATCAGTTGCCCCTTATTTTTAGACGTCAAAGCCTATAAAGTTCGAAAATATATGTTTCAACTTTTGAGGAATTTTGTACGAGATTTGAAATTCAAAAATAATCTAATATTAGCCATAGAGGTACCGAATAGCTTTAAAAGTGTCAAAATTAAGTCTGAAATGTCGAAAAATAGTCCATAAGGCTCCAATAATAGGCCATTAGTGGAGTAGTAAGAAGATGGGAGTTATGGGCCATTTGTGGATTAGTGGTAAGGTGCGGTATATATATATATATATATATATATAATTCTCCTCATGTTGAGGTCTTCCCCTGGTCCTATTCAAGCGCAATCCCCTATCTGGGTCTAGGGCCTCTCACTGTGTATGAGTCTCCTCCTCCTTTCCTCTTCTTCTACTCAAGCTGAGGCCTTCCCCTAGTCCTATTCAAGCAGTATCACCTGTCTAGGTATAGGGCCCCTCACTGAGTAGGAGTCTCCTTCTCATTTCTTCTTTTCTTCCCTTTTTGCTCCTCAGGCTAAGGTTTCCCCCTGGTCCTGTTTAGGTTATACCCCATGTCCAAGTCTAGGGCCCCTCACTGAATAGGAGTCTCCTCCTTCTTTTCTCTTTTCTAGTTGAGGCATTCCTCTTGTCTTGTATAAGTTGTACCCATTATCTCGGGCTAGGGCCTCTCTATGTTGAAGGGATCTTTTACTCATTCCCCTTTCACTCCCCTTTAGTCCTCTTCTATTACAAGAGGCCTTACCCTATTTTTAGATAATCGGTATCCCTTATCTGATTACAGGGCCCATCGATATATAGAGGTCATGACAGGGGATCACCCTTCTTCGAGAGATCCCACGACCAAGAGAGATTCACATACGTAGTTAGTTGGTGATGGAGGTTAGAAAGACCATTATCAAGATACTGAGGTCGGAATGGATGTAATTTGACATTGGGTATAAGTACGATGAAAGTTTGATGATGGACAGAAGTCCGATGACAGGTGAAAGTCTTACGATGGACAGAAGTTTGGCCATGTATTGAAGTTCGACATCAGGTAGAAGTCTGAGGAAAGTTCAACAATGGGCATAAGTCTGACGATAGGCAGAAGTCCGGTGTCGGGTATAAATTCGATGACGGGAGGAAGTCCGGCTTCAGGTAAAAGTCTGACAAAAGTTTGGCGATGGGCAGAAGTCTGGCGACAAGCATAAGTCTGGCGATAGGTGGAAGTTTGATTGTGATCGACAATAGTCGAAAGCCGATTGAAGAGCTAAAAGGGAGAGTGTGTTGACATTACTAGTCTAGCAAGGGGCCACTAATATCTGATATGGAAAAGGAACGATGATGGTCATAGTCGAGTCATACTTTCTTAGAAGTAGTCTGTATCCACACCAACGCGTGCAAACATCAGGCATCCCTGATGGAAGGGGTCGAAGTAGTGAACCCTATTAGTAGTCTAGCGACACACCAACACTATTAACTGAGTGGAGGCTTGATGATGATCATGTTATAAATTTTCTTTGAATAGGAAGTTATAAGAAGCACATCAATGTGCAGTAGAGAAGATGTCACTTAAATTCACCAGAGATATTTAAACATTTTGATGTTGAGAATTCACAATGGATGTATGACCTATCCGAGGTTGTATGTCAGAGAACTGCTCGATGATGTTAACATGTATAGAAC